CGATATATCGTGTATGAAACAAACTTATTTGTTATATTACAGTATTAGCGTTATCTATTTATTTACAATTTTATTTATTTATTTAATAACGATAATAATGTTATTAATTTATACGGGTATTTATTCATCAAGATAAAAAAAAAAGTTTTAGATTCGTCCTACGTTAGCGTTATATCAATTCGTATTAGATATTATTAGAATTGTTAGACATTTCTTGCCGTAGAATTCTTTCCAGATGCAGTAAAACTAGTGCATATGCCGGGGACAGCAAATGCTGAACATTATTTCATTACACAAAAGTAAGTTCATGCTCAATTAAGGTCAACTTCTGTTCTCTTAATTTATCATTTTACCATCGTTAAATAATAAAACGTTTTGTCTATTTTTCTTTTCCTTATATTATATCCTTTTTAAAAGATCGTGTATGCATCGCTTTGAACTTCAATGATTCAAGGCATCATGTTTATGTAGTTTTGTATACGTGGTCTTGAACGAACTTTACAAGTCTACGAAAACCTTTGAAAGGTCTCTTTTTTTTTACGTATACTCGTTTTTAAAATTACCCTGCTTAAAACTTTTCTGCAATATTTACAATAGTTACAATATTAGAGGTGTTGTCTTAATACTCTTATTCCTTTCTCTTTCCCCTTTTTTTATATAAAATTTCGAATACAGTAGAAACACTGTAGAAATACTGTAGAAATATAGTAGGAATATAGTAGGAATACTGTAGGAATACTGTAGGAATACTGTAAGAATACTGTAGAAGTAGATTACAGTAAACTTGGCTGTAAAAAAAGCGTTTAGATCTTTGTAACTGGACTGCTCTTCAACAACAAATTCGCATTAAACAATAAAATAGGTTCTTTCTGTATCAATCGGAACTATCATAATGAATTCAAAGACTTTGGCTATGCTATTACGATCACATACTTCAATACAATTTATTTTAGTAATATTTATATGTTTCTTCCAATTCGTCTTTGGTGACAATCAGAATCATACTCAAGATGATTCTGTTCCAACGTTGACTATACCTGTAATGCAATGGAAATTTTTAGAAGTGTCTGGGGATAAGCCGCAGGGGTTAAAGGATTTTGGTTTCGGTTACAATAAGTTGGCCAATAAATTGATCATTTTTGGCGGAACGTATGTATTTTTTCAAA